ATTTGGTATAGAATGTGTGTGTTGATTTCTTAGAAATGTACTGTTTTCATGTAGACATGTACCATTGTGAAAGATGTCCAGTGTGTATTGATACTTCTTTTTTTCTCACACAGAACTGAAGGTATTTTGGTTTGAACTAGCAATGGGAAGTAAGTTGTTCTGTTTGGCTGAAATGGTAGTTTTTAAATAAATCACAGTTTTCATGTAATTTGATTTGTCTTAGATATGATTGTACCTATAAAAATTAGTAATGGATGTTTGACTCATAGGTGAAAGTTTTCATTGTATTGAAGAAAACAAGGGGTTTCTTTCTTTTTAAAATATAATTGAATTGAAGGTCACTTAATCACAAAGCTTATAAACCCCTCTTGTTCTAGATGACTGTAGGATAAACAATCGTAATATAGTGACCATTGTAATTTTAACTTACATTTTATTTTAATATTTTATATAACCATTAAATACATTTACTGAGTTTTTAATCCATTCTGGTGCTTTATCTTATGTTTAGTAACCCACCTACCCCCTGGTCTTTGAAGAGAATAAACTGTTTTATTGTAAAATCTTTCACAAGGGGAACAAATACGAGTATATCCTAACAGTGTATATACAGAGCAGAAAGTGAAGTATAACATTATTATCTGCCAAGCAATTACTTGAAGAAATTCTCTTAACACATGACTCGTCTGATTCTTTTTAACTGAATTGAAAAATTGATCTATTATCACAGCATGAAACTGCTTTAACCTTTTCAAGTTTGTTTCAATTGCTTGTTGTCTAGCACATCTACATGTTGAGGCATTGGTTACACTGTTCTTAGTATTACATCTGGAATTCTGATATTATGAACCATAATTTTGAATTATTTTTATTTTATTCTTTAATATTTTGATGAAAATATTTCTAAGGTTCTTAGTATTCTACTCCAAGATCTTTGAGGTATTGTGGAGGATAGTGTAATATAATAGTGAGAAGTTTAGCTTTTAATCTGCAATCAAATAACAAAACTTTGAGGAGAGAGAGAGATCTTGTCTAAACTATATGTAAACTAATACACACTTAGTTTTCATTGAACATATCAATAAAGGTAACATTGTTAATATCAACTGTTTCTTTTAATTTATTTAATATTGTAAAACTGTAATTAAAAATATCAAATATACTGCTCATATATGTGCTAATACGTCTTATGGACACACATACACTTGTAAAAATAAAAGATCCTGCTCGTTGTGAAAAGATTGACGTCACTGTGCTATTAAAGTATATTCTGATTTATTTTTCATCTCTTTTTCTTACTTATTTAGCAATTTAAATATTTTCATCTTTAGATGCTATAACTTATTTTTTAGGAACTGTTTAGTTCAAAGCTTTATTTTTGTACTTCTCTTGTATAATCTGTAATATATGTAAATTGAAATCAGGGCTTGTTACCGTGGAAAAGTCTAAGACATAAGATCTCACTTGATACTGTCGGAAGGAATCAGTTTGGATCACCTTCATATCCATCGCCGCTTGATAGAGTACGAAGTGGTCGAAGAGAACGTGCGGCTCAACTTGGTTTGTCGCCACAAAAACATAGCCGGCCGTACGAAGCCAATCAGTCATTTCCTTCCTCTTATAAAACTAATGATTGCTATGGTGTTTCTACAAGTAGCCCTATTGTTGTGACAACTGATACCAGAAAAAAAGGAATTAACAGCTTTAAAGGTTAGTTAGCCATCGTAGTTAATAAATTAGAGGTTTGACCTCACAGTAGACGATTAATATCTGATATTCATAACTATGTAGGCATGAAGAAATAGAAACATAAATATACTGCTAGTTTAAATACATTTTATTTAAACATGGAAAGTATGGCACCATATTAAATGTGAACAGTGTATGTGATTGTAAAACCAGCCAAGATGTAGCCTGTTTATAGTGTCTGATTGTAATAACAGCAGAAATTTGGACAGATATTTTTAGTATTGTGTGGAAAAAGTTACAACAGCTAAGGGTTTTCTTTTTACATACAGCAACATGATAAATGTAACAACATTTAAAATATATGTACAATTTTCAATATGCAATGGGTAATACTGTTATAAGATGAATAAATTTTTACATATCAGTAATATTCAGAAAAACATACATTCTTTTGTTTGATATTATGTTAAGTTATATTCAGAGTGTTTTGTGTGAGATAATCCTAAATTGAGCACCAATTAAATGTTTAATTTCCCTAGGTAATGGGTTGAGCAGCTTCAGTTTTTCATCTGGAGGATCTAAAGGTAGTTTTGCCCCTTCAGCTAGTGTTTCCCATCAGAACATGTCTCTCAGTGGAAGTTGGGTGTTTCACAACTTTGTAGGGGGTGGTCAGAGTCGTTCAGTGTTTACACACACTGTCCATAATCCCAACAAAGCAGTAGTGACAGTCAATGCTAAAACAACAGAAGTGAGTTTTACTAAATCCTTCTGACAACCAGGTCTCTAAGATTAAAAGGGGTTTTATTGTATGATACATTAAGTTTTAAAACTGGTGAAACCAAAAAAAAAGAAAACTCAGTTATTACTTTGTGATGCAGATGTATGCTTGTTGACCACTACTTTGTAGTTGCTGTAGATTTAACTTAAAAACTGAGTAATGCAATGTTTGAAAACTTTTAAATTGAAATATGTCTTACAATAGCTTTGTTGTAGCTTCAAACATAAACCAATAATGTAAATTATAGGAAGGTTATACGATACTTGTAGGTGATATTTGTTATGTTTTGATTTTCACACAACATTTTTTCATAGTATCGGAATGTTTACCACAACAAGTAAATACTCTTTTATAGATGATGAACAAACAAATGCCTAGTTCAGAGTGATACTTGTAATGAAAGTCTTGGAAGACTGATAGAAAGCATGACGTTAACTCCTACAAAAACCAGTGCAAGCTGACCTAAAGACAGAAGTCTTTCAAGCCATTGTCCTTTCTTCTTTAGTTGCTTTAGTAGAATAGTCCTCCAGAACTTTCTGTACATGTTTCACTTTGAACCATGAAGTGTCTACTCATTTCACCTTTGTTAATCAAGTAAGTATGTTATGTGTACAAGTTCAGTTTGATTTATTTATAAACTCAATAAATGCAGTAATGATCAGTAAATGTTCTTGTTTTAGATTTTGGTGGCTAACAAAATGGCATGCCAACTACTGGGTCAGAGCACTGAAAAGCTGATTGGACAACAACTTTCTCAATATTTTTCCACAAAGAAAGGTCAATATTCCCTTACAGAGACTTTGTTAGAATCAGATGGAGAACTGGTGTGGATGTCAGGAGTTGTGGTAATGTGGTTTAGCTGAAAGCAGATTTACAATAATTTAATTATTAGAGTGCCTTAGCGAAAACACTGACACACACTATAAACCCTTCTATATCAATCGTCAGTTTTTAAGCCTACAAAAACTAAATTATAATTGCAATGAAGTATCTCGTTTTGCAAAAAGATAATTAAAAATTACTCTTATATAATTATGATCTTATCTTGCGTAGTGGAAGTCGTCAGCATAGTCACATGTTAAGATAATTATAGCAGAACATAATTCAGTTTGTAATTTTCTAATCGACACTAAGTCACAAAGAAGTATTTGTCATATTTATCTTCCTGATACCATTAGATGGACTTAGTTGACTCTGATGGAGATATTATTCCAGTATCAGTTTGGATGCAAAGATTGATAGTTGATGACGAACCCCGCTGCCTTGTTGTTATGGAACCCGTGGAAAGAACAACAGCTGTTGTGATCTTCGATTCTGATGGTAAAGATAAGTTAT